CCATTTCAACTCCCCCTCCCATTCCACAGATGACATGTCCATCCTGGGCCTCCTGCAGTGCCACAACGATGCTACCCGAAGGTTGCAGGAACATCAACTCATATTCCGCTTGGGAACCCTGCAGCCCAATGGTATCAATGTGGACTTCACAAGCTTCAAAATCTCCCCTCCCCCTTCCGCATCCCAAAACCAGCCCAGCTCGTCCCCACCTCCCTAACCTGTCCTTCCTCCCACCTATCCCCTCCTCCCACCTCAAGCCCCACCCCCATCTCCTACCTACTAACCTCATCCCGCCCCCTTGACCTGTCCGTCCTCCCTGGACTGACCTATCTCCTCCCTAACTCCCCACCTACACTCACCTTTACTGGCTCCATCCCCGCCTCTTTGACCGGTCTGTCTCCTCTCCACCTATCTTCTCCTCTATCCATCTTCTATCCGCCTCCCCCTCTCTCCCTATTTATTTCAGAACCCACTTCCCCTCCCACCATTTCTGAAGAAGGGTCTAGGCCCGAAACGTCAGCCTTCCTGCTCCTCTGATGCTGCTTGGTCTGCTGTGTTCATCCAGCTCTACACCTTGTTATCTCACCTAACCTGCGCATCTTTGGACTGTGGGAAGAAACCAGAGCACCCTGCAGAAACCCACACAGCCACAAGGAGATTGTGCAAGCTCCACGCAGACAGTCACCCAAGGCTTGAATTAAACCCAGGTCCCTGGCACTGTGAGGCAGCAGTGCTAACCACTCAGTCATCGTGCTGCCCCAAAGAAATGTTACTACACACTTCTGGAGCAGGTGGGACTTGAACCTGGGACTCATGGCTCAGAGGTAGAGACACTATCATGACACCAGAACATTTTAAATCCCTCTTTCAATTTTATTTTATTGAATACACCTCCCATTTTAACTTGAAATGCACTTACTATTCAGCACTTTATGCCATATTATGTCTACCTCTTCTATCACCATGATAAATATTAAAGCATTATTTACCATTCCACCATATGGTATTATCCTATCTAGTCCTTAGTGGAGCAGTTCCCATTATAGATGTCCCCTTTTATTGATGTGAAATGTTTTAATAATTTGTTTTATATTCTTTCACAAGTTAATGTCACAGTTCTACTTTGACTTCCTAATTATTTTTTGACTTCTTTCCAAATCTCTTTGCATTCTCTTATCATGTAATCTGCTGGTCTCTATGTACTTAATGTATGCCTCTTCTCCAGCTTTCAGTTATCTCTTTGTGGCATTTTGCTTCTATGGATTCTCACCAGTATTTACTTTGTTCCATCTTTTTAGCAAAATAGTAATTTCTTGCATTCTGCTGAACACCTTTCAACAATGTTTCTTATTGTTGTTCTACATGGTTGCATGCCAACATGGTGTCGTAGCTCAAGTCTGAATGTTGTTCACTTTTGCTGCATATGGACATTGTCACTCCTCAAATACTGAAATAGTCAAAGGAAGCTAGACATAGAACAAAAAACAAAGACCAACACAGAACAGGAACAGGCCCTTTGGCTCTCCAAGCCTGTGCCAAGAACTTTGCCCTTCCATATTAAAACTGTCTTCACCTACAGGATCTATATCCCTCTATTCCCTTCCTATTCATGTATTCATTCAGGTGTTTCTTGAATGCTGTTATTGTCCCTGCTTCCACCACCTCCTCCGGCAGCGTATTCCAGGCACTCTCCACCCTTTGTGTGATAAACGTGACTCGAACATCTCTTTTAAACTTCCCCCCTTGCACCTTGAACCTGTATCACTTAGTAATTGATCCCTTCACCCTGGGAAAAATCCTCATACTTTCCACTCTATCCATGCCATTCACAATCTTATAAAGTTCTATAAACAAACATCATGCAATCATTTGCAAAATTCTCACTTTCTATATCATACAGAGCAGGTCATTGATAAATAAGCTAAAGATGATTTGACACTACTTCAACGAATTCCTTCAGTGGTGTCCTGGGACTGACATGACTAACTTCCGAACAATTGCAACCATTTTACCGTGTCCTAGGTGCAACTTCAAACAATGGAGAGTGTCTCCCGATTCCCATGAAATTAAAACCTTGTTAGAGCCCCTGTTTGCCAGAGTCGGTCAGCTGCTGCCTTGATGCCTAGGGCAGTCAATCTCACCTCAGTGCATTTTGGAACTTCCTGGTTCCCGTGCCCAAACAGCAGACTGTTGAGTTATCTGAAGGCCCATGGCAAAAAACTGGATCGTGTGTCAGGTCATCGTTGAATCAAGCAACAACCACTACCACTGATGATGCCAATGTTTTTACCCAGCTTGCTTTCCCAAATTCTGTTCTCAGCCCTAAAGATCAGCCTTTCTCCAGTCTGTTAACAAGCACTTTCTTGTCATAATTATGTTCTTCTCTATCATCTTAAAGCATACTGTATTATTAAACTCGCTTTCAGAGTAATTTCACAGCAAAATAAAGAGTTGCAGACAACTTTACAGACCAAATGGGTGGAATATTACTCAAAAAGCAACACAATTCACCCTTAAATTCTTCCTGTCTCTGCCTCTACAGTGTTTTACTCATCCCACAAGCTAGTTAGCTTTCCTTCCTGTAGCTGTTTACTGTTGGTTACAGTGAACAATTCACCAAATACTGTCAGGTTCCTCCTCTGTGTAGTGTTCTGTGATCTAAGCTTGCATTTTCGCTGGGTTGAAACTACTCCAGAGCCATTAAAATATGGTGAACAAAATTAGATGCTGGGATTACTGCCCCCACTTTGGTTTCTCGCATTTTTTGCATTGGAGTATTGCTTTTATGCATTCAAAACTAAAGAAAACACTGCTTGGGATTTCTAGCATAATAATATTAAATTATTTAAATGCCACAAGTCCTTTCAAAATAAAAGATAAATTTCAGCAGCTTTCACTTAGATAGAAAAGAAGCCATTACCTTCAGCAGCTTTCACTTAGATAGAAAAGAAGCCACTACCTGTTTTAGTTAACAGCTTAGAATACAAGCCATTGGGTTTCAATAGACTCCATTATTAACATTTCTCCGATTTTTATTTTATGCATGAGCCCATTGTGAATGCTTAGCTGAGTTTTTCAAAAGGTCTAAAACTCTGTGCATCAACAGGGACTGTGCTCACATTTTGATTGATAATTATAAGACCTTATTGAAGTATTGCCTGTCTTTGAATTGGCCAGCGAAATATTTCATTTTACAACAACTCTGGTGACTCAGCTCTTGAGGGAATTTATATTTTTGAAGAGGAGGGGTCAGTCCATCATGACATTTTTCACAAGAAAGTGTATTTGATTGAGACCTCTATTAGATCGTTAAAGGTTTGATTTCTTCATCTCCAATTCAAAAAGCATGGCTCCTGAGGACTGCCCATAGTAAATATTGGGTGAGTGGCTATGCAGCATTTGAGAACCTTCTCCTCCTGTGCCTGGCCCAACCCTGCCAAATACTACTTACTTGCAGATATTGTCGGCTCTTCTCTTGCCGGTCTTCCTCATGGTAATGCTTTCCCAGGACCACCATCATATCAGCTGCGCTGATCATCACCACCTTCCCCAGCTCCGTCACACAGTGGGCGGCAATCACAATGTTCCGTTCATTCAGGAGTGCCCCACTGCAAGCCAGGAACCATGCTTGCTGCCTGACAATCTCATTGCTGGTGCGTGCCGTCTTATGGTAAAGTGCAGCCTGCCATGCCCATGCCATCGAGGGCAGATTCTGCAGGCTGAAGTTGCCAAGTTTTCCACAAACTACCAAGCAGACAAACAAACAGCATAAACATTTCATTGAAAAGAAACAAGTGAGAGAATAAAAACTGAAAGAAAACAGCAATTTCCACAGGTTCACCCTGTCAACAAAACCCACTTAGCCAGCTCACTTGACCTGTATTCAGTTCTTAGCACTGCACCTTCACAATAAGATTCATGACAATGATACCTGGGCTACAGGGCTAAGTTATAATAACAGGTTGCATTGCCTAGCCTTATGTAGCCTTGAGTTTTGATGATTAAGGTATGATCTTAAATGCAGTGAGATATGATTTAGCAATTTGATAGGTTATACTGGGATCAACTATATCTGTGGGGTATATGATATGATCACCATGGGCAGCAATGATGGCTTACTGGTTAGCACTGTTACCTCAGAGTGCCAGGGACCTGGGTTCGATTCAAGTCTTGGGCAACTGTCTGTGTGGAGTTTGCACATTCTCCCTGTGTCTACATGGTCTTCTTCTGGGTGCTCCGGTTTTCTCCCACAGTCCAAAAATGTACAGGTTAGGTGGATTGGCCATGCTAAATTGCCCATGGCATGTGCAGGCTAGATGGAAATGCAGGGTTACAGAGATAAGGTCGGGGGGTGGGTCTGGGTGGGATGCTCTTCAATGGTGCAGTGTGGACTTTATGGGCTGAATAGCCTGTTTCCAAACTGTAGGGGTTCAATGTATTGAATCCTATATCCTTTGATCAAAGGATCTGGAACAAAGTGGGTGTACGGCCTTGGGATCATGTTAGTGAACACTATAACACAAAAGGAAATCAAGAACTTTCTGTTTCAAGATGTTAGACCACTGAAAATTTCAAAACTGAAATTGAAAGAGTTTTTATGCAAGGGTATTAAAGAGCACAGAACCAAGATGGATAAATAGAATTAACATGAGGATCAGTTATATTTTAATTAAATGGTAGGTAGACTTCATGGCTAAATTGCACATTTTCATTCCCATATTCCATTGTGGATGGACCAAAGAAACAACTGCTTTTATGAATGTATTGGAGGACTGCATTGGTAATCAAGCTCCATTATTCCACTAGTCACTTGATTAAGAAAAATGTTTTGATTTAATCATCAAAATTGTCAATCGATTCCCTTTTGGACCACTATCCAGACTAAAAGATACTTTCATCAGGCTGCTTCAATGAATTCAAAACAATCTGTTTATTGTAACACAAAACGTTCATAAAATAAGTGGCAAACGTTGGTTAACATCTAAGCAATCAACCAGAATTAGAAAATACCAGGGTAATTCTCTAATAAACTAACAAAATTTCTTCCATAGCCCTGGCCAAATTGACATGTCAATTTCAGTTTTGGGATTTTGCTGTGTGCCAAATTGACTGGGTGCATTTGCCAAAATATTGATCATCTTTACAAAAAGAAGTTGACTGTGAAGGGTCAGGGTACATTCTAAGAGCATCACACATAAATGACAAATAAAAATTGCTCAGAATATTGAGCAGGTTGGCAGCATCTATGATGAGGGAAGCGATTTATCAAAAACAGAAATGGCTGGGGAAACTTGGGTCTAGCCGCATCTGTGGAGAGAAAGCACAGTTAACGTTTAGAGTCCAGTGACTCTTCTTCAGGCCAGATTTATCAGTTCAATTAAATGACTTTTCAGCAAAACTGGTAAACATGATCAGATGCCATTTCCGCCACCTCCAGCAAGATGCCACCACCAGACACATATTCCCCTCCCCTCCCTTGTACACCTTCCGCAGGGACCGTTCCCTCTGGGACATCCTGGTCCACACTTCCTTCACCCCCAACACCTCCCCACAGCCCTACGGCACCTTCCCCTGTAACCGGCGAAGGTGCAACACCTGCCCATTTACCTCCTCCCCCCCGTCAGTATCCAAGGGTCCAAACATACCTTCCAGGTGAAGCAACACTTCACCTGCACTTCCCAGAATCTAGTCTACAGCATTCACTGCTCACAATGTGGTCTCCTGTACACTGGGGAAACGAAGCGTAGCCTAGGTGACCACTTCCCAGAACATCTATGTTCTGCTCACAAAAACGACCCTGAGCTACCTGTTGCCTGCCACTTTCACACACCACCCTGTTCCCTGGCCAACATCTCTGTCTCTGGCTTGCTGCAGTGTTCCAGCGAAGCTCAACGCAACTAGAAGAACAACACCTCATTTTCTACTTGGGGACCCTGCAGCCCTCTGGACTCAATATCGAGTTCAATAATTTTAGGGCCTAAACTCTCCCCTGTCCCAGCCCCCCACCCCACACACCAGGCCTTGTTACCACATAGCCTGCCACTTCACACCCCCTGTTGTTAGTCACTAACAGTCCCCATTAACAACTACTCACCCTCCCAGCCTGATCGTTATCAACTCTTTGTCTGTCTCTCTTCTCTCTCTTTAGGCTCTATCCTATCATTTACTCCCAACCCCATTTCCCTTTTTTTCTGCATATAAACTGACGTTTTCCCAGCCACCAGCAGTTCTGAGGAAGAGTCACCGGACCCAAAACGTTAACTCTGTTTTTTCCTTCACAGATGCTGCTAGACCTGCTGAGCTTTTCCAGCAACTTTGATTTTGTTCCACATAAGTTCCATCAGATTTATTCTTTCGCTCTATGTGCATCATTTTTTTAATGTCAACCACCAATTTTTCTCTCTGTCCATTTGTAACCATGTCACCAGCCTAAATTCCAAGAAGCCCTTTTTTTGTTTCAAACCTGGAGGTATGGACAAGAGTATTACAGAACATAAAAAGAATTTATCTTCACATTAGGGTTTTAATAATAACCATTACTAATTACATTACTCCTTTTAAACGTTTCTGAAGATGTTTATGTCTTTTTTTTTGTTTGGTAAATACAAAAACTTAGGAGAGTTGATTGGTAAAAAAAATAGGTTTTGGGAAGATCTTTAAAAGAGAGAGATGTGGGGAGGCCCAGAGAGATAGTTGGAAAGGAATGCTAGAGATTAAGAGGAGTAAGTTTGCATTTAATATCCCTGACCAACATGGCCTAACATGGGATGAGTAACGATAACTCATGTGTTCCCCATTAGAAGGCTCTGCATAACAGTAATGATTTCATTTTCTTATGTCATTGAAAGTATTTTTTGTAAATGTATAAGTAAATAAAGACAGTGATATGGACATATAGGAGCTGCGGATGCTGGAGAATCTGAGATAACAAGGTGTAGAGCTGGATGAACACAGCAGACCAAGCAGCATCAGAGGAGCAGGAAAGCTGACGTTTCGGGCCTAGACCCTTCTTCAGAAATGGGGGAGGGGAAGGGGGTTCTGAAATAAATAGGGAGAGAGGGGGAGGCGTATAGAAGATAGATAGAGGAAAAGATAGGTGGAGAGGGGACAGACAGGTCAAAGAGGCGGGGATGGAGCCAGTAAAGGTGAGTGTAGGTGGGGAGTTAGGGAGAGGATAGGTCAGTCCAGGGAGGATGGACAGGTCAAGGGGGCGGGATGAGGTTAGTACGTAGGAGATGAGGGTGGGGCTTGAGGTGGGAGGAGGGGATAGGTGGGAGGAAGGACAGGTTAGGGAGGCAGGGACAAGCTGGTCTGGTTTTGGGATGCGGTAGGGGGAGGGGAGATTTTGAAGCTTGTGAAGTCCACATTGATACCATTGGGCTGCAGGGTTCCCAAGCGAAATATGAGTTGCTGTTCCTGCAACCTTCGGGTGGCATCGTTATGGCACTGCAGGAGGCCCAGGAGGGACATGTCGATTGAGGAATGGGAGGCGGCGTTGAAATGGTTCGCTACTGGGAGGTGCAATTGTTTAGTGCGAAATATGAGTTGTTTAGGTGTTCCGCAAAGCAGTCCCCAAGCTTCCGCTTGGTTTCCCCGATGTAGAGGAGGCCACAATGGGAACAGCGGATACAGCATACCACATTATCAGATGTGCAGGTGAATATCTGCTTGAGTGTTGCCTGGCAGAGTTCTTATGAGGCTTGGAGGTCACGTACAATATTTCAATTGCTCCTGCTGAGTGCAATCTCATACAATCTCGTTTACAATGCAATAGAAGGGAGGGCCAATTCAGCTTTCAAAATTCGGCCATGTTCCACTGAATGATGGACACGTCAACATGATGTTAAAATCAACATTCAACAAAGAGGGAACACAAAAACACCAATTTCTTTTCTTCTACAATAAAGTTACCATTACCAATGCTTCTCTAACCATCAATGTGAGACAAGCATGAGGTTTACCAAGACATTTAGATCTCAGACTTTGAAATCTCAACACAGAACAACGATGCATACATAAATAAAGTAAAATCAATAAAATGTCACATGTTTAGATGGGAAATTTAAATTCGATAAGTCACCTGCGCCAACTTTCTGCTGTCAATCAATGTTATGTTAATGGCAATGGACTTGGGCAGGAAAGATTAGCCTTGATATTGAGCCTCGTTGTTTGACCAGAAGCTTCTTCTGTAGCCCACTCATAGCTGCAGCATTGTTGACTGGCAGCAAGTTTCAATGAAGAACCTCCACCATCATAAAATCATACATCTCCCAAACATATCATTGCCTTTTTAATCGTCATACCAAATAGGGAAAAGGCAAGAAAGTGGAAGTAGCATATACTACCAGTTCCATTGTTGGGCGTGGCTTGCAACAGATTAAGTTCTGTCTATGAAGTTACAAACTGATTGGCTCTTTCTGACAACATTTTCAATTTTATTCTTAAATTTAGACAGTGAAGAAGGCATTTGGTACACTTGCTTTTATTGGTCAACGCATTGAGTATCGGAGTCGGGAGGTCATGTTGCAGCTGTATAGGACATTGGTTAGACCACTCTTGGAATATTGCATTCAATTCTGTTCTCCTTGCTATAGGAAAGATATCATTAAACTTGAAAGGGTTCAGAAAAGATTTACAAGGATGTTTCCAGGTTTGGAGAGTTTAAGTTATAGGGAGAGGCTGAATGAGCTGGGGCTATTTCCCTGGAGTGGAGGCAGAGGGGTGACCTTATAGAAGTTTATAAAATAATGAGGGACGTGGATAGGGTGAATGCTCAAGATCTCTTCCCCAGGGTTGGGGAGTCCAAAACTAGAGGGCATAGGTTTAAAGTGAGAGGGGAAAGATTTAAAAGAGGACCTAAAGGGCAACTTTTTCATGCAGAGGGTGGCGCATGTGTGGAATGAACAGCCAAAGGAAATGGTGGATGCTGGTACAATCAAAACATTTAAAAGACATCTGGATGTGTAAATGAATAGGAAGGGTTTAGAGGGATATGGGCCAAATGATGGCAAATGGGATTAGATTAATTTACTTTGTCTGCTCAACATGAACGAGTTGGACCGTAGGGTCTGTTTCCGTGCTGTACACCTCTATGACTCTAGGAACAGACCAGGTTTATATAAACATGCATTTTTCAAGGAAACTATTATGGAAACTATGTGACTTCAGTTAGTTTGAACACTGCACTACTAAAAAAAAACTTTCAATCACATGCAAAGTCAAGAAGTCATAGTATTTCACTTCAAGATTGTAACTAGTGAAATTCCGTGAAATCAAAACTTCAGTGGATTTTTATATTTCTTAGGAATAGACAAAAGAACAGCCACCAAATTAAGGCTGGATAAATATTAATACAAAAATAACAGTCACCTAGACAAATATTGATTAATTAAGAAAATAAATCATGGATTTGTTAAGGGACAATCATTTAACCGATTCGCTTGAGTTTTTTGACAAGGTACCAGAGTTGTTGAGGTAATACAGTTTAAGTGGTGTACACTGACTTACGAAGGGGAGTTGATTAAATGCCATCCAATAAATGCCGGTCTTGTTATCAAAGTTAATGCCATAGAATAAAAGGAACAGTTGCAGAATGGATATAAAATTGGTCAAGTGTCATGAAACAAAATTGTTGTGAATGGGGTTTTTTTCTGACATGGGAAAGATACACTGGTACAAAAACAGGTACAAATTCCCCAGGATGTGCTATTAGGACTTTTTAAATCTGCATGAATGACATTCAATTGAGTGTATAGGGAATAGTTTCTAAATATGCAGACAACACAAAACCTGGACGTATTATCACTTATGAGCAAGGTAAAGAGAAGGCTACAAGAGATAGATAGGCTGGGAAAGGGTTAGACTTGTGGCAAATTAAATTTATTGCAAAAAAATGTGAAGTGGTGTATTTATTGACGATGAACAAGACAGGCAACATAAGATAAAGGTTACAGATCTAAAAATGGTATGAGAGGAATGGGACTGGGAGTGCAAATATGGCAAAGCCAGTTATAAAGGTTTTTGTAAGTCAAACAGAGTTTTATAAGTAGAAAACTAGAGTAAAAAAAGCCAATAAGTTATGCTGAACTTTTTATAAAACACTCATTTGACCTCATCTATAGTATTGTGTCCAAATGTAGACACTACAATTTAGGAAAATGTGCAAATAGTAATGAGCAAGCAGAAAAAAAATTATGAGAATTGTTCCAGGGACAAATTATATTGTTGTGTGAATAGAATAGACAAATTGAGGGTGACCTTCTCAGAGAAGATTGACGCAAAATTTCAGAGCTGTTCAAAGGTTTGAACAATATTGATCAGAAGAAACTGTTCCTTGGCAGAGAGTCAACATAGTAAAAGAAGCCATGGCGACATGAAGGAAATTTTTTAATGACCAAGTGGTTAAGATCTGGAATGCACTACTGTAGGAAACTGCAGTGGAGGCAGCTTCAATTATGGCTTTCAAAAGAGAATTGAATTATTATCTGAAGGTGGAAAAAACATTCAGGGTGATGCAGTACAAGTGGACTGGGATTAGCTGAGTTGCTCTTGCATTGAGGTGGCATTATCTTGGCAGGCCAAATGTTGTATCATATCCTCCCACATCTTAAGAACAGGAAGAGGGGAAGTTAAGTAACTTACTTGGAATGCATGTTGGTGATCGTCCACTCCATTTTCCTGTTTTAAGACATGTCCTTTTCTTGCTTCCAAGACGCCTATAGAAGGGGGAGATACATTCATATTCCAGCTGTGTGTGGGGATGATAGAAACCTGCTGGAAGATTCCCGATATGATGCACTGGGATTTTAGTGGGAGAAATTTGGGATTGTTCCTTGTCTTGTATAGCAGCAAACAGTCTATGCAGTGGAGTCTTCCTGATGGTAAAAACAAGCAACATAAGGCATGCATTAGACATGTTGTGATGAGGTCATTACAGTTTCAACAACATCATTTAAATCTCACCAATCCTAAACACTTAAGATTCTGTCATTGGATCTCATGTCTGTTGGCAACTTCAGTGTGCTAATGCAGCCTTCGGCCGCCTGAGGAAAAGAGTGCTTGAAGATAACAATATCTGACACCAAGATTATGGTGTACAGAGCTGTGGTGGTTCCCACCCTGTTATACGGCTCTGAGACATGGACTATCTACAGCAGACACCTCAAGGCGTTGGAGCAGTACCACCAATGCTGCCTGCACAAGATTCTGCAATCCGCTGGGAAGAAAGACGCACCAACATCAGCGTCCTTGACCAGGCCACCATCCCCAGCACTGACCACCTTTAATCGGCTATGATGGGCTGGGCAAGTCATCCGCATAACCAACACGAGATTCCCCAAGCAGGTATTATACTCCCAGCATCAAATTGGCCGGTGAGCCCCAGGCAGACGGAGGAATGCTTCAATGAAATCCTAAAGGCCTCACTGGTGAACTGCAGCATTCCCACAGACACTGGGGAATCACTGGCCCAACAGCATCCAATATGGAGGAGCAGCATCTGGTAATGCGTCGAGAACCTCGAGACTTGCTGTCAGCCTCCTCTAGAGGTCCCCAGCATTACAGATGCCAGTTTTCAGCCAATTCAGTTCACTCCACGTGATATCAAGAAATGGTTGGAGACACTGGATACTGCAAAGGCTACAGGCCCTGACGACATTCCGGCAATAGTACTGAAGACTTGTGCTCCAGAACTTGCCGTTCCCCTAGCCAAGCTGCTCCAGTACAATTTCAACACTGATATCTACCTGACAATGTGGAAAATTGCCCAGGGTTGTCCTGTACATAAAAAGCAGGACAAATCCAACCTGACCAAATATCACCCCATCAGTCTACTCTCAATCATCAGTAAAGTGATGGAAGGTGTCACCAACAGTGCTATCAAGCTGCACCTGCTCAGTAATAAGCTGCTCAGTGACGCCCAGTTTGGGTTCCGCCAGGGCCACTCAGCTCCTGATATCATTACAGCCTAGGTTCAAACATGGACAAAAGAGGTGAATTCCAGAGGTGAGGTGAGAGTGACAGCCCTTTACATCAAGGGAGCATTCGACCGAGTGTAGCATCAAGGAGCCCTAGCAAAACTGGAATCAATGGGAATCAAAGAACAAAATCTCCGGCGATTGGAGTCATACCTGACACATAGGAAGATGGTTGTGGTTGTTAGAGGTCAGTCATCTCAGCTCCAGGACATCTCTGCAGGAGTTCCTTAGGGTAGTGTCCTTGGCCCAATCATCTTTAGCTGCTTCATCAATGACCTTCGCTCCATCATAATGTCAGAAGTGGGGATATTCACTGATGATTTCACAATGTTCAGTACCATTCATCACTCCTCAGATACTGAATCAGTCCATGTACAAATGTAACAAGATCTGGACAATATCCAGGCTTAGGCTGACAAGTGAGAAGTAACATTTGCACCACACAAATGCCAGGCTACAACGACCACGAATAAGAGACAATCTAACCACTGCCCCTTGGCATTCAATGGTGTTACCATCACTGAATCCCCCACTATCAATATCCTGGGGATTATCATTGACCACAAACTCAACTGGACTCACCTCATAAACATAATGGTTACCACAGCAGGTCAGAGGCTGGGAATACTGTGGCAAGTAACTCACCTCCTGGCTCCTCAAAGCCTGTCCACCATCTACAAGGCACAAGTCAGGAGTGTGATGGAATACTCCCCACTTGCAACCCCAACAACACTCAAGAAGCTTGACATCATCCAGGACAAAGCAGCTGGTTTGAATGGCACTGCATCCACCAACATCCACTCCCTCCATCACTGATGCTCAGTAGCAGCAGGGTGTACTATCTACAAGATGCACTGCAGAAATTCACCAAAGATCCTCAGACAGCACCTTCCAAACCCACGACCACTTCTATCCAGAAGGACAAGGGCAGCACAAATATGGGAACACCACCACCTCCAAGTTTAACTCTAAGCCACTCACCATCCTGACTTGAAAATATATTGTCGTTCCTTTACTGTTGCTGGGTCAAAATCTTGAAATTCCCTCCTAAATGGCATTGTGGGTCAACCCATAGCAGGTGGACTGCAGCGGTTCAAGGTAACGGCTCACCACCACCTTCACAAGGGCAACTAGGGCAATAAATGCCTACTGGCCAGCAATGCACACATCCCAAAAATGAATTTAAATAAAGCAGAAACCAGGTGTAAACAGCGAAAGGAGCGTGCTGGCACACCAATGTCCCACCCACCCCTTCCCATGACCAATTTCTGCCCCAAGTGTAACAGAGCATATGTAAGCTGCATTGGTGACTACTGACACCTAATGAGGTCACCCTGAGAGTGGAAGACAGTCCTCCTCATCTGTGAGGGAATGCTAATGGTGATGATGTTGGTAACTGTGACTGTATGAGAAAGATTGCTCGTGCCTACAGCCAGGAATTGTTGGGTGAATCAGAGTTTCACCTTCCATATAGAGAAGCAATGGGGAAGTCCCATCAGTTGAATGGCTAATGGAGCCACAAGCCCTTCAAGCACTTAAGTGATCACGACAGGCTTTCCCATGATTGACGTTCCAGGTGGTGTAAGTACTTCCTGCAGCCAGCTCTTCATTGCTGCCAATGCTATCGGGGTCGGTTGTTGCTGGCAATAGCACATGCACCAGAATCTGAGGATTGCCGGAAGATCCCAGGCTATAGGTGAGCGAAGGCAGGCTAGGGGTTGCGGATAGTGGGATGGGGTCAGGGCATGGGGACAGGGCTCCTGACAGCGAGGAGCCCTGCAATCCACCATACCTCCTCAGGAGGCCACAGCTAAACCAAAGGAGAGAGGTTTTGCTTGGCAGACTTTCAAGAATGTGGGAAATCTGGGCAGCCCCTTTTTTATCCCTATACTCACCACAATTGTTGCTGAGCTCAGAGCTGATAACACAATGGGTTTAATTGGTTCATTATCAGTGCCAGTAGCCAGGAATCCCATATCAGCCCCTTTGGACTTCAAGGGGGTAGTTTTTGCTGCTGCCAGAAGATTGACTTGTTGCTTTTTCCATGATAAGTGGGCCCGGGCACCATGCTTCCCACTGTGGTGGTCTATGTTAACTCTAGTCATGCAAGTTTAAATCCTACGCAATAGTCTGTGCCTGCAAATGGGCCTGTATCTGTGAAAAGTAAACTCAAGGCATTAAAAGCTAGACCCAGGGAATATTACACTGCTTTCCAAGCACAGGCACTGGACACTTACCTAGTCTGAAGTTGCATTGACAGAACTTTCTGTTTCACCAGGTTAGGGAGCTTAGGTTGCTTGCAAGCTTAAATAAAAGAAACACACATAAGCAAATCAGTAGGGAGAGAATTCATTGCCTCACCTCTACCTCTAAACTAACAGAATGGCTTGCACATAGAGTGAACACTCTACTGTATACCAACTACAAACTTTGCCCTTAAATCCAAAGCAACACCTTATGCTGGGGATATTTGTAACATTTGAGTAGCATGTAGCAATCTCTGACATTGCAAATATCCCAAGCACAACATGTTACTTTGCATTTAAGAGTAAAGTTGTAGTTCGTGTACAACGGCACTATAGTGTCATTATGCTAAACTTATTAGCAGCAATAATGCAGAGGCCTGGTTTAAAGACCCAGAGATATATCCCAAACAGATCTGACTAACCAGCAATCTGACTACTTCCCAAACTGATCACAATTGACAATTATTCACTTGCCCATCTACCTACATACCTACCACTTTACCTACTTAGCTACCTCATTCATTTTACCCATTCGCACATTCAATCATCCATTCACTAACTTTCTAAGAATGGTTTCGAACACACCACACAGCAGGTAGTATTTCAAAAATAAGGAGTGTGTCTTGTTTACTACCAACTCTTTCCTGTTCTGACAGATTTTTATGGCAGGGAACAGAAACAGCTCCTGAGCCTGTGAAGAACTGATGTTTTTCCCTGTGTTTACAGCTCCAAGCAGTTAAGCTACCTGGGAGCCAATCACATAGTTGTTGGCAAGCAGAAGGCCTTTATCATTGATAATTTAATATTAATCCACAGACCAATCAGCTACTTGTGTCCAACTGGATCTCCATTCGTACACAACCCTGGGTTTCCAGTTTATCTGCAAACCATCTATTACTGCTTGTACCAGAGCTGCATAAGCACTACTTACACTGAGTGTCATGTTAGGAACCTTTGGAATATGACATTATATTCCTACTTGAAGGTCAATTCCTTCTCCATCGCCTGCCTGGTATGTACTGCAGTGCCTCAAACTCCTGACCTTGTCCCCTACCTTTGACTGCAGATTGCCCCCACATATGTGCCTCAATGGCATAAATTTGCAATGATGCAATCCCACTTCACAGTTTCTCTGGAACAATGTACACTCATTCACATCTCTGGTGCATTCTCCTTCCTCGATGTCAGAGTTAGAAGAATGGAAAATATATTTCTTCAAAGGCAATAGGCTCCACACTCCAACTTTCTTGGTTGTCAGGGACATACAAATAAGGAACAGAAGTGGACCATTCAATCCTTCGAGTCTGCTCTGCTATTCAGTATGATCATAGATGGTATGCTGTGTTCAAATTTCCATATTCCCATCTAGCCCCCAATAACCTTCAACTCCTTTGCCTAATAAGAATCTATATACCTCTGCCTCAATCACAACCCTTAGAGAAAAAAATATTCCTCATTTCTCTGTCCTAAAAGGGTGACCCCTAGTTTTCAAATAGTGCCCCAGTGTCTTGACTCACTCACAAGAGGAGGCATCTTTTCCGCGTTCACCTTGTCAAGATCATTCAGGATCTTATAAACTTTAAACAAATTGCCTTTTGCCCTGCTAAACTCTAGTGAAAACAAACCCAGCCTGTCCAACTTTTCCGCAGAAGACAATCTAATCATTCCAAGTTTCAATCCAGTAAACCTCCTCTGAACTACCTCCAATGCACCTACATCCTTTCTTAAGTAAGGAGTCTAAAACTACACATGGTATTTGAGATGTGGTCACACCAATGCCTTGTATAAGTGAAGCACAACATTCTTCCTTTTATGTTTAATTCCTCTCGTAATAAAAGATAGCATTCCACTGGCCTCCTTAAACACTTGCTGTATCTGTATTCTAACCCATTGTGACGGATCCCCCTGCATCCAAGAGTTTTGCACATGTTCACTACTCAAATTATACCCTGTTTTTTTTTTATTTTTCTACCAAAGCAAACAACTTCACATTCTACTCCATCTGCCAGATTTTTGTCCGCTCACTTAGCCAATCTTTCAGTTTGCATCCATGATATGTCATCTTCATAACGAAAGTTCCTATCTATTTTTGTTTCATCTGGAAATTTAGTCACCATGCCTTGAAACCCCTCATCTAGGTCATCGATGTAAATGGTAAAGAGTTAAGGGCCCTGCACAGTCCCCTGCAGGAGCCCATTCATCACTCCCTACCAATCTGAAAAAGATTAATTTATGGATACTGTATGTTTTCAGCTGGCCAATCATCTGTCCAAGCAAGTTACTCCCATATTATTGAGCCCCTACTTTGCACAGTAACCTTTTATGTAGAACTTTGTGAAGTGCCTTCTGAAAATCCAAGTTCAACATGTCAACAGGATCCTCTTTAACCACTGCACATCTGACTCTAAAGAATTCCAATAAGTTGGTTAAGTTCCTTTCCGCAAAACCATGCTGACTCTTCCCAACTACTTTGAGTTTTACCAAGTGCACAGCTATAACCCTAATGATCTATTCCAACACCTCCTGCAAGGGAGATGTCAAGCTAACTGCCCTATAGTTTCCTGTTTTCTGTGTCCCCTCCCCCCAACTTGAATAGAGGGGTTATTTTCTTACTTTAAAGTATAATGGAACAATTTCAATATCCAAAAAAAGTTTGGAAAATTAATATCAATGCACCTATTACCTCATTTGGCATCTCCTCAAAACTCCAGTATGATTTTCATCAGGACTGAGAGATTTATCAACCCACAGTTCCATCAGTTTGCTCAGCATAACTTTTCTAAAATTCATTTGGGGGATGTGGGCATAGCTAACTGGCCAGCATTTATTGCCCATCCTTATTTGCCCTTGACAAGGTAGAGGTGAGCTGCCTTCTTGAACCCCTGAACTCCACCTGCTATGGGTTGATCCGCAATGCCATTGGGGAGAGTTCACAAAGTTCCTCTCTTCATTCCACCTTCCGGACTTATAGATATTACTGAGATTTTTTTGTATCCTCTACCATAAAGACAGAAGCAAAATATTTATTCATTATATCTTCCTTTATTACTTATCATTAATGTCCCAATCTCACCGTATAGATGATAACACTTGTGTTACTCTTTTTCTCTCCAAGATAGCTATAGAAACTCTTGCTACCTGATTTTACATTTCTAGTTAGTTTAACTTCTTTAGGTAACCATGGATTGTGGATCTTGGATTTGTTTTCTTTATAGCAGGAGTGCACTCATTGAGTATTCTGAAATATCCCTTTAAATGTCTGCACCTGCCTCTCTTTTGGTCTATTTCACAGTCTAATACCCCAGTTCAGTCCCAATAAGCCAGTTTTCATGCTGACATACTCCCTCTTTTTAAGTGTACAATGCTAAGTTTGGAAACACTCACTTTTCAAATTGGATGTAAAATTCAATCCTGTTATGATTGCAGACACTTCATGTGCCTTCACTCTGAGGTCATTAATTAACATTGCCACGTTACACATTGGTTTCAGAATGTGTTGCCTTAAGAAACACTCTTTAAAGCATTCTATGTATTCCTCATTGAGGCTATTACCAATTTGATTCTTCCAGTTTATACATGGATCAAAATCACCCGTGATTATTGCTGTCCCTTTATCACAAGCACCCAATATTTCTTCTTGTAGATATTTTTCTAATCAACCTGTTCAGTAATGTTATGAGACACCTCTAGAGCAGCTGTGATTTGAACCCTGGTCTCTTGTGGCCCAGAAGGGGCACTTCTACTAGACCATAACAGCCCTCAATATTTCTTTTTGTGTTCTTCTTCCTACATCATAGACCTGTAGATCTCTGCCATAAGTGACTTAAAAAATTGAATCCTTACAGTGTGGAAACAGGCCCTTCAGCCCAACAAGTCCACCCCAACCCTCAGAGCATCCCACCCAGACCCATCCCCCTATGACGCACGTAATCTACACATCCCTGAACACTATGGGGCAATTTAGCATAGCCAATCCACCTAACCTGCACATCTTTGGACTGTGGGAGGAAACCAGAGCACCTGGAAGAAACTCACACAGACACGGGGAGAATGTGCAAACTCCACACAGACAGTTGCCCAAGAGTGGAAAAGAACCCAGGTCCCTGGTGCTGTGAGGCAGCAGTGCTAACCACTGAGCCACTGTGCCACTCAAAGGGACTTCTTTCCCTTACAATTTCTCATCACCGCTGGACTGATTCTATATCCTGAATTCCTGAACCACAGTGCAGGAAGATGGAGTCAATGTCAAAAATCATCAATGAAATGTTGAATGTCAGGTAGCACAAAGGTCAAGTGGCTACATCCAGCTCCTATTTCGTATGTTTTTAGGACAGGTTTAGATGAAGCCCATTTGAATACCAGCCTACTGCCTATGCTTATCAGTGTTCACTATTTCATCAGAATTGGATAAATGTTTGTCTAGGGTCATCTGACCTTCTGTGCTCAGAATTAAAATTTGATAAGACGAGGCCCTGATGTAAACAATTTGTCCTTCTCAAAGTCCTTGTTTATTTAACTAGAGTACATAAACACAATGTCAGTTTTGTCTAATATGGTTGTGTGTCTAGTTGCAAACCTTTGTAAAAATTAACTCCACACTGTTTTAAAATTCTACTTAGACCATTACCACTGGAGTTACTTACATATTTTATTTAAAACTAGACACAAGGCATTCAAGACAACAGACATTTAGAAATTAAGATTATTCAATATATTAGTGATTATCCTGTCACCTTTTAGACCTGGATCCTACAATTTCAGAATTATTTTTGTATTCAAAGAAGCAGAATTATATTATTAAAAACTACAATAATTTTTGCAAATATTTTTAAATACAAAGACTAACATTAAGCACCTTCTGGTCAGTTATAACTTGGCCTAGACACAGATTAAAGTTCCCCATATGCTGATCAAATCAAAAACAAAATAAAACACCCTCACTGCCACAAGGAACACATTCACTTCAGTTGGTTTAGGTCCTGCTAGATTAAAGGTCCTCTATGCTGTTGTGTCAAACGAATCCAGGTTTGGTAGAAAATGAATTAAATGCAAAGTAAAGACGCTTGTATTCTTCAACAATTCTTTTTCAACTCAACATCACAGCAGTGTCTCAAACAAGGAGGAGGGGATTGAATTGATTTATTTTAGGGTCTTCCTGTTCCATCCATATTAGAAGTGGTGTGTTTTTTTCATAATCTATTTTCTCTTTTTGAAGTAGGTGGTGGTGCATTCCCCCAAACCATCTTGTAGTGAGGTCTAAATTAAAAAGCGATCCACAGTAAATTCTTTAGACTTAAAACAAAGTAAAATTTAATGGTGCATTCAAAAGCTAGGGCAACACATACACACACAAATATACACAAAAACATGGACGCAAGAATAGAGGGAAGAAAGATATAAAAAAAGAAAAAGAAGTTCCAAATAACTTGTAAAAAGTCAAAGGTATAGACATACACTCAGAGTCCATCATCAGTGCTGAGTGAAGGTAGCTGGTCTGGCAGGATTTGCTTTTATAGGAACTCAGGTACTGTACACGCTGTTCAAAGTATAGCAATATGCTTCCTGTAAACTGGGAATTAGTTCACTTTTTCAGGTAAAATGCAGGGTTATTCTCAGAAATCAAGTTTCAAGAGAGGTCTCGTTGAGACACAGTCTTTAGCTGAGCCTGGAGCTGCTCGTTGTTTGTTCTGATGTTAAAAAGCAGCCTGAGAAAGCAGTTCAGAATTGTACAATTAAAGCTGTTAAAAAATCCTAAGTGTCAGTCATGGGAAAATGTTCCGGGATGGGGCAATTCAATCTAACAGGCAGTTTTGCTAAATCTCATCAAAACCATTGTGTACATGAGAGATAGCTGTTATGCTGTTCACACTATTTCTCGTATGATGAGTTTCAATGGTTTTCTTTCAAACCAAACACAAGTGGAAAGACAAAATTCCTGTTGCTCCTTTGTTTGGGTTTTGCTGCAATGTTCATACCGTGGGAGATGTGAAACTCCAGAGAGCTGGTGAGTTTGCTTTTATCCTCGTGATTGCTGGGACTTTCCAGAAGCAGCCAAATTGCCATGTTGTGTTTAGTAGCTCTTGTAATTGAAGAATGGTTCCATAATTCCCAGCATTCTCCATTGGAGGGCGAATCATCACATTATAAGTGGGACTGTTTCAGACAGTTTAATCAACCTGTTCAGAGATGTTATGTCATACCTCTGGAGAAAGTGGTACTTGAACCCAAGCCTTCTAGCCCAGAGGCAGGGTGCCATGTGCCACAGATCCTAAAGCCATGTACAGTTGCAGCAAGATTACTTTACACTCCACCCTCTTTGCAATGGAGTCTGACGTTCTTTTGGCCTTCCTATAATGACTTGTTGTTACCTGCAAGTTAACTTTTTGTGATTCATGTATGAGGATACCCACATCTCTCTGTACCATGGAATTTTTAGTCTCTCTCATTTAAATAAAATTCTGCTTTTGCACTCTTTCTGCGAAAGAAGGCAACCTTATATTTCCTACATTATACTCCATATGTCAGATTTGTGCTTATTCACTTAAACTATCTATATCCCTATTCAGGCCATTTGTATTCTCCTCTCAACTTGCTTCCCTACTTATCTTTGCATCGTCAGCAAATTCTGCTGTAATTGGTTGCTCCATCCAAGTTGTTAATATAGATTGTAAATATTTTGAGCCCCAAAACTGAAACAATGATCCTTGTGGTATTCCATTAGTGTAGTGTTTTAAGATGAACCATTTATCCTGACTCAGTTTCTGGGTGAATAACCAATCCTTTTCCTAGCTATATGAGGGAGGCAATGGTGTTGAAGTATTGTTGCTGGACTAGTTATCCAGAAACCAAGGGAATGTTCTAGGGATATGGTTTTGAATCCTACAGACAGAAGATGGTGGTATTTGGATTCAATGAGAAGGCTGGAATTAAAAGCTTAATGATGACTGTGAAACCAACCATTGTTAATTGTCAGGAAAGACCCACCTAGTTCACGAATGTCCTGTAAGAAAGCAAACCTGCTGTCTAGAACCATAGCAATGTGGTTGACTCATAATGATATTTCAGTTTTATCGATCGCTATAAAGTTTAAAAAAGGAATGAAACTGAAAAGCCTATTTGGCATTGTTGCCAAAACAACAAGAGCAAACTCTGCTCTGTTGACCCTGCAAAGTCTTCTTTATTAACATCTGAGGACTAGTGCCAAAATTGGAAAAGCTGTCTCACAGACTAGTCAAGCAACAGCTTGACAAAGTTTTACTCACACAGGCATAACTTACACCACTATCCCCATCTCTGAATATGTCTTTTCCACTGTGATGAAGCTGGCTGAGTCCAAAAAAAATGTAGCTGCTAGACTTGATCTGTAGCCAGAAAAAGTTACTTGAACTCACCCTCATCAGTCTACTGATGCATCTGACCATGACAGTATCACTGTGGAAACAAAGTCCCATCTTTAAATGAGGATACCCTCTAATGTGTTGCGTGAAAATACCATCATGCTTAATGGAACAGAATTCAAACATATCCAGTAAATCAAAGCTGTGTATTCATAAGGCACGGTTGACTATCAACAGCAGCAGAATTGTAATCAACCACAGCTAAATCAGTGATAACTCTCAATTAGCATGTCTAAAGATGTGATCATGTTGTGTTCCTCTGCTGAGGTAACCACAGAAGTCTAATTAAACTATTCAATCCAATTTACAAGTGGAAGTAAAGAGTTTGCGTACTTCAACATAGATATGTTAGCAACTGAGAATAAAATTTGCTTATAGAGACTGAAGATCGACTGCAGATGATTCCGTAGGTGCCAACGTTGATGCAGAATGACTAAATCCACAAATGTTTGACACAGTCAAGAAGAAACTCCCTGCCATTGAAATACAAGATACTGTCAAGAAGAAATTGCCTGCCTCAGAGTACCAGGATACTGGGAAAAAGAAAATTCTTGACTCAAAAGAACAATCATCTTCTGTGTAGGGACTTCATGAAATTACAGGTTTCACAGATAATGTTCTAGGCAATTACCTGATACTGAAGAAAGAACATCACTGCAAAAGAAATTCAGGAGATGAAGGATCATCCAGATAAGGTAATGGGCTGACTAGCTGACTTAGCACAAACAATGTTCTCAGTGAAGGACTTCAAAGTCCAGGAGCTCGGGCAGCACAGTGGCACAGTGGTTAGCACTGCTGCCTCACAGCACCAGGGACCCAGGTTCGACTCCAGCCTCGGGTGACTGTCTGTGTGGAGTTTGCACATTCTCCCCGTGTCTGCGTGGGTTTCCTCCAGGTGTTCTGGTTTCCTCCGACAGTCCAAAGATGTGCAGGTTAGGTGGATTGGCCATGCTAAATTGCCCATAGTGTTCAGGGGGGTGTAGATTAGGTGGGTTATAGGGGGATGGGTCTGAATGGGATGCTCTGAGGTTCGGTGTGGACTTGTTGGGCCGAAGGGCCTGTTTCAACACTGTAGGGATTCTATGATTCTATGAAAGAGGTAAAACATGTTCCAGTGTAGAGAGATATGAGGAAACCTCATAGGATAAGGAACAGAACCAAACTCAATAGTCCTTAAGCCAAAGAACTACTAACCTTCCAAATGCTTGGAACCCCTTCCCTGATGGCATTGTGGTCTATATGCTCCAAATGAATGTCTGTTGTTCAAGAAGGTAGTTCACCACCACCATTTGAAAGGTTATTTAGGAATGGGCAAACATGCTGACCATCCAGCAATGCCTACATTTCATAAATTATAAAATCCCCAAGACCAGGAGCTCTGAACATTAATTTGGCACCTTATTGAATGTGTTTTAGAAGTCTAACTATACTGTGTCTACTGACTTCCTTTCACCAATCCTGCTAGTTACACACTCAAAGAACTCTGATTAACTTGTCAAATATGATATCCCTTTCATAAAACCATGGTGACCACGTTCAATGACTACTTCCTTAGAAATGGATTCTAGTATTTCCCCAAGGACAGGTGTAAGAGCAATTGGCCCATATTTTCGTGGTTTCTGCTTCCCTCACTTCTTGAATACAATCTTGTTGTTTTTCATTGACTGAGGCCCTTCTAAAACCTAAAGAATTTTGGAATGTTTCAAAAGATTCTTCCACCATCTCTGCTGCTACTTCTTTTAAGAAGATTACATATCTATTTTCAGACTTGCTATTTTCCATATATTTTCTTGCCTTGGGGTAGGAGCTTGGATGATGTCTCATGACAATCTCAGCAGAAACTCATGAGAATTGGAATAAAGAGTTTATTTCCCCAGGTCTTTTGCCATCTTCCCATCAAAATTACAATGAAATATTGGAATGAGGCTTACAAATTTTACTCCAGCTTACCAAATGGGTTTGCACCTTTGAGTTCAAAAGTTGTTCCTGGCAACTTGCGCCACAACCTATTTGAAAATTAATCTTTCACTTTTTGCCTTTGCTCCAAACTTCCTAATTTACCTCTTTATCTTATACCATTTGACCCGTCATATTACCTTCCCCTATAACTCCTATGTTGGGTCCTGAAACAGGTGCTATGACACCAGTTACACAGCGTACAAGAAAGGCTCCACTGCATTACCTTTTATACAGGTAGGCTGCTTCTCTGTCCATGTTCCATCCTGTTGACATGTTCTCCGTGCACTCCCGCTCAAGACAAACGAATAACTGCAGGTGAACCGCACAGTGGTGCCCACAGTCGCATAACCCTGGCTTATCTCCCCACTTCCCGGGAGAATTTTTTGTTGACCTTTTACTGGTGCACCAGGGTCAGTACAGTTGATATTCACTAGAAGTCAAGAATGAAACATTCCTTTATATAACGGCCACAATAGTCAGATGTGTTCTTTGCTTAACCACTTCAGTGTAAATATCCTACATTTTAAAACTAATAAATGCTGCAACATTTCACTCTCAAATCTATGAAATGTAGCCATTCAGAAGTCTCTGCTGACATAGCCGATCCAAGCATGTATTAATAATGCAGAATGAATATTGTAATCATTTATACAATCAAACAATGTGTGTCTAATGCATTGAGATCGCGCGTGTAATTTTTCTAATGTAGGGCAACAGTAATCCCAGCATCACACTTCATGAGTCATCCTTACCTTTGCCAAAGGTGTGAAAACTTTGACCTAATTATGCTGCAAAACTCATTTCCCCCAGCAATATATAAAAAAAATGAATCAATCATTCAGACATGTATGGCACAGCTCCAAGGCAGGTGGGATTTGAACCTAGAGGAGTGACACAACCATTGTGCCACATGAACCTTCAAATCATATACAGCTGCTATTTGCATTAATAATTCTGAAGGAACCCTTAATTCATGTCAATTTTAGCAGAGTTTACTATTAAAGGGAAAGCAGTCTATTTTTCCAGCTTCAGGCTGGAGCAATGTCCAGATGTCAACTTCAAGTGATATTTAAGCAATTTAATAAATATTCTGTCAAGAGAGGGCTATCTAAAGTTGAAACTAATGAAATTGAGTACAAATTATTTACCTTTAAGAATTTAGGTGAGTGGCGCAAGGCACCTTCATCAGGCTCCTATTTATTGACTTGAGCTCCACCTTCAACATCATAATTCCAACAAAACTCATCTCCAAACTCTGAGATTTAGGACACTGTTTCCTCCTCTGCAACTGGATCCTCAACTTCCTGACGGCAGACCGCAATCAGTAAGGATAGGTGTTGACAATAATCCTCCACAATAATCCTCAATGTGGGCACCCTGCCAGGCTGTGTACTCGACCCCTTACTATACACCTTGTACATTCATGATTGTGTGGCCGAATTCAGTTTTAACTCCATTCACAAATTTGCTGATGTTGTGGGTCAGATCTTAAATAATGACAGGAGTACAGGAAAGAGATAGAGAGTGTAGTGGCATGGTGTAAAGACAACAATCTCTCCCTCAATGTCAGCAAAATGAAGGAGCTGGTCATCGACTCAAAAACCTTAGACTTCAGGAAGTGGAATGGAGTACATGCCACTGGCTATATCAATGATGCTGAGGTGGAGGTGATCAAGAGCTTCAAGTTCCTAGGAGTAAACATCACCAACTATCTATCCTCATCCATCCACATCAACACTACAATCAAGAAAGCACACCCACGCCTCTACTTCCTCAGCAGGCTAAGGAAATTTGGCATGTCCACAAAGACTCTTACTGATTTTTATAGATGCACCGTAGAAAGCATCCTATCCCCAGGTGTACTGCAGCTTGGTGTGGCAACTGCTCTGCCCAAGACCACAAAAAGTTATGGAGAGTTGCAAACACAACCCAGTCCATCATGAGAAATAGCCTTCCTTCCATTGACTCTGTTTAAACTTCCCACAGTCTTGGGGAAGCAACTAACAAAATCAAAGATGCTTCCCACCCTGGTTATACACTCTTCCACTTTCTTCCATCAGGCACAAGATACAAAAGTTTGAAAACACATACCAGATTTAAAAACAGCTTCTTCCCAGCTGTTAACAGACTTATGAACGTACCTCCCATATTTTAGAGTTGATCTTTCTCTGCACCTTCTCTGTAGTTGAATGCTATGTTCCGCACTCTGTCTACTATCCTGATGTACTAACGTAAGGTATGATTTGCTTGTATGGCACGCAAAACAATACTTTTCACTGTATCTTGGTACATGTGACAATAATAAGAAATCAAATCAAATCAAAGAATATGGATCATAAGGAGCTAACTGAATCATAGGATATGGCTTGTGTATTCCCACAGAGATCTGTTTTGGAACCTCAACTGTTGACCATATGAATTTAGGAACAGGATGAGGCTATTTTGTCCCTTGAGCTTGTTATCATATTCAAAGTGATCATGGTTGATATGACCTACTCCAGATAAACATCTTTGTCTCTTATTCCTAAATACCTCTGCATAAAAGAAAATATCAATTTTAGGTCTACAGTTTACTATTAATCTATCATCTTTTGTCATTTGTAGAATAGAACCAAACTGCAACCAGCCTTTAAGTTGTAAGTGTTTTCTAATTACACACCTGGTAGGTTTGTTCTAACTTCAGACTATGCTCCAATTCCTCCTGTTCTCAATCAGTGGAAACAGTTCCTGTCTATTTACTTGATCTTTCAGCAAGATGTAAAGATCGTAATATTTCAACCTTACTATCTTAAAAAATCAATATAACTCTGTAACTTTTAAAATTCCAAGGGCTATGACCCTAGGTTGCATAATCTCTTTTTATAAAGTATCACCGTGTCAAATCTGCGCTCTACATCCTGCAAAGCCAAAATATTCCTCTGAAGGTGTGGTATCCTACTCATGATATTCTACTCCAGTTGTAGCTGAACCATACTTTGTATTGATGAAGTTTTAACTTATTTATATATGGTCCTCAATATGGACTATCTCGATCCCCATGTCTCTTTGGTCCTTCACTAATCCTGGCTTTTTAGCCATTTAGTAAGCACAAAGCTTTTAGGTCCAAAATAGCCATCATTCAAAATCACTACCATCTTGTTTTCATTGACAACAATCACCATTATAACTTTCAAAGGGCTCATATCACTGCTGACCACATTATTTTCCATTGTAAAAATTGTTTTTGTTAGGTTCTGAAATCATTTGCAAGTATATTTTCACACTTCCACTTTCCGGTTCTTACTGTCTATTTGCTATTCCTCGTATCTTTCCCATTTAAGTACTGTCTTATTCTTCGCAGACCTTTACTATACCTTTTCTTTCATCTCACTCCCTCAACCTACATTGAGTTGAGTTCCTTCTCTTCATAACTATTGTCCCCTCTGCGATCCAGCATGTTGCCTCCAATTCAAAGAATTGACTTCCCCAACTTCCCTATCACAGCAATGTGCCTTGGCTGTTGACGTTGTTCAAAATTCATTCACAGGATGAGGCCATTGCCCGCTAAGCCAGCATTTATTGACCATCCTAATTGCCTAAGGGGCAGTTAACTGTATTGCCATGGGTCTGGAGGTCACATGCAGGCCACACCAGGTAAGGATGGCAGTTTCTTTCCCTAAAGGACATTAGTGAACCAGATGGGTTTTTCCTGACAGTCAACAATGGATTCATGGTCATCATTAGATTCTTAATTCCAGGTTTTTATTGAATTCAAATTTCATCACCCGCCATGGCAGGATCTGAATCCAGACCCCCAGAACATTATCTGGGTCTCTGAATCAACAGTCCAGTGATAATACCACTAGGCCATTGCCTCCTCTTAATTTCATACAGCTGATCCTGAAGACTGACTTTGGTCCACCTCCCAGCTAACTTGGATGGTCAGTCCTGACTGATTGGTGACCAGACCCCTGACAGGTCTGTGTACAGCTCGCCTACTGACTTCCTGTGATTTCCCCCAACTGGTTGCACTGTACCTGCAGGTCTGACTGTGACTCACTTCCTAGACTGCAGAGATATACAGCCCTCTGACCTTAACCACTTCAAGTGGCCAATTGACTACATCCAAGTCCCTGGACTGATAATGAATGATGCCCTTGATTTGCTATGTCAGGACCTCATGACTGAAGATTGATTCTCTTGGCCTGATTTACAACTACCCCCATTAGATTTTGACAAATGGCTATTTGGTTGAAGCACATGCAGTGTATTGTGTACGTTACTTGCACATGATACGTGTGTGACATTGGCGTAGCATGATATTGCACAGTAACATGTCTATCCTCTTAATTGATCACTGCTGGCAATCATGACAAGTTGCTTGGCTTTATGGCTGTGCTAAAAGGTAAGGCTGGACAGAAAAAACTGAGGTTTTAACCTCTGGCTGAGGGGACAAATTGTAAAAAGGCCAGGAAAAGCAAGGAAGAGATGCTTCAACCATTCAATTAGGTACAAAGTGAGTGAGCATTAAGGGAGCACACAATGAAAAGTGTAGGTGCGCTCCAAAGTGCAGGAATATGCATAACTGTATTGTAAATCGATTGGAGATGTGCCATGAGGATATGGAGAGATTAGTATGTGTCTGATACTAACTTCTGTTTATGAAGTTATGGGGTTTGGGGAGTCTTGTCTAAGGTGAAGGCCTGGAGGAGCAGGCAATGAGGTGGAGTTTCATATTGGGAGTTGTTGCCATTTAACTTCTATCTCGTGGTGGGAGAACAGAAAACTGCAGATACTGAGGTGAGATTAGGCACCAATGACACGCGACTGTGTGAAATGGATGCAAAAAGGCCTTTCGCTACACATTGTCGAGATTCTCATCTCGCCTTTCAAAACTTGGTTGCAAAATCAGATTTATTTCGCTCAATGTCAAGAATCTCATTGTTCTGACTTCACCATATTTTCCCAACTGACTTGCCAATGCCCACATCATTCAGGGGATAGGAAAATTCTGCCCTTAGTGACTGTTTATGAACCTTCCTTTTCAAACACTATGCTGAAGTCAATCAATTGGCCCAAATTTTCCAATGACCAGATAGTCATTTCTACATTGTTAATTATGAGTCGTGTGTCAGGATCTTGAAGAATCCCTGATGCAGCCGAAGGAATTGCCCAGGAGATTGAAGATTCTGCTGGAGAATTCCCTTAAGTCTAGAACCCTCTGAAATTATCCATTTAAATCACAGAATACAGGGTTCTGTTGTAGTTAAATAAGTAGCTACTAGGGGAAATTTAGACAGTGTAACTTCTGGGTAACTACAAAACTGACTCCTGTCCCCACCCCACTACCTACTACCGCCTAGCTACACCTAACTGACCACTGAATAGACCTGGCACCCCTCGACCTCCCACGACCTGGCACACCTCTTTCCCCCAGGTCTCAATACTACTTTGCCCCACGCGACCTAATGTCCCCTGCTCACCCGAACTACCCAAAAATTTCCCAGGCCCCCTTCCCATCTTGCATCTTGGTGCAATACTCCCCGGCACCCTAACCCCACACTTAAATTACATACTTACCCTTTTACATGGTGGTTAAAGTGATGCTGGCATTTAAATCACAGAATACAACAGCTTCTGCTGTGAAAAGGGGAGCATGATTTGACATCCCTGTCTCTCCTGCACTATGAGAGACCTGTCAGATTTAAAGCACTATCACATGTCTGGAAACATTTTGATCCGAATCTCCTGTCAGTAATGCAGACCTCATCCTTAATGTAACAAAGGAGCAGAGTGGCAATCTGAATGTAATTGCTGCCTCTTGGAAGCTTTGGTCATTATGTTTGCTAATAGATGAATGTATATGCCCTGATAGACTATTAACTAATTCTTGCTCGTTGCCAAATCTAATTGATTTTATTTACTAATAATTCAGATGATAAAACATGTCTAAGTTAGAAAGGAGGTGCGAAGACATTCAAAGAGCTATGTACATGGGTCATTAAAATGTCAGGGCTGAAAATAATTGTAGAGGGTAGAAGAAGACTGGTTTTTAAATCCAGAGGACTAAAATGCAAGGAGGCACAGGTTGTGCTGCAGCTATGCAAAGCCCTTGTTAGATCACACCAGAAGCATGTGTTCAGTTCTGAGGACTACCCTTTATGATATACTGACCAAAGAGGAAGTTGATTGTGAACCTTAGAACTGGAGTCTACTAACTGGAGTTATAGGAGTAAAGGTATGAAATATATCCACAGGCAAAAAGTGATAGAAGTTTGAAATTCTCTTTCACAATGGCAATTGATACTAGATCATTCTTAATTTTAAATCTAAAAACTGATACATTTTCATTAGCCAAAGTTTTTAAGTGATGCGTGACAAGATGAATTTTTGTGTTGATGAAATAGTGTTAGGTCACAGCCTGTCAATAACATATCCAGCTCAAAAGGTTTCTAACCTTGATTTTTGAACGCATCTATCACCATGTGAGATATCCTAATATGAAAAGTCTAACTGAACATCAAATATCCAAGAAAGCATTTAACAACCCAAATCAGCAACTACTTCTCTGGAAACAAAACGGAAATTGCTGGAAAAGCTCAGCAGAGATCCACACTACTTCTCTGGTGTGATTTTATATTTGTACCATGAATAGTTTTAACTGTTGAGTAACTGAGCTTTTTAATTTCAACTATAGCATGTTATTTGTTATCACAACTTATCAGATGTAAGCAATGAAAATGCAATGTGATTGGTATGTACTGTGTAACATGCTTGAAGTTATCTCACCATTTTAGAATCTAACAACAATAAGATTTCACTGCATTACCTTTTGTGCAGATTGGTTGCTTCTCTGTCCACATTCCATCCTCCTGGCAAGTTCTTTGTGCACTTCCACTCAAAAGAAACAAATAGTCGCAAGTGAACTGCAGGATGGTACCCACAGTTGCATAGCCCTGGTTTATGCGGCCACTTCTTGGAAGAATTCTTCGATGACCATTTAGTGGGACACCAGGGTCAGGACAGGTCTTGTTCCCTGTAAATAAAGATCAAAACTTAGAGCAAAAGTAACAAGAGATGGAATAGCTTTAGCTTCTGCTTCTTTTGCGTAATAAAGGACCCTGATTAATAAATACTGAAGCTCTTCCCTATGAAATATTCCAGATCTTTCTGCCAGAGATGAAATTGCAAACACTGAAAAATAAAACTTGCATTATACATTATACATTAAACATTCTCATTTCAAAGCACTTTATAACCAACCAATTACTTTTAAAGTGTCATCATTGTTATAAGTAAACACAGCAGCCAAATTACATAGAAAACCCCCCGAAAAAAATGGGCGCCAGTTTGACTGCACAATTGGATAAAACTGATGAAAGCAACTTGATAATGTATCTTATGGTGTAAATCATGGAGATTAAAATCTGAAGACTGCTGATTTGTCATGACCTATTTTACACCATCACCCGACATTAATGTTATGCCCATTGAGACAAATGACCTTAACATTGTTTCTGGGATAATTTTTAACATATCATTAGAACTCCCTTGCACTTCCTCAACTATTGTCATGAGATCTTACAAATCCACCTCAAAGGGTTGTTGGGGCCTAATCTGAAGTACAGTCCCTTTGATATGCAATGCATAATTACCTTCTCAAATCCTGGAGTGGAAATCCCATGATTGTCTGACTGAGAAAGAGAAATACCATTGCAGTAAGTCTGACAGTTTAGCCTCAAGAGTTTAGTAGCAGTGATCAAGCTTATAAGGAGTGGGATGTAATCATAACACAAGAAAAAGTAATCAATACACAATAGAGCAGCTGGTGTATTGTGGCTGAGGTAGATGTGAATCGATGATCATTGTGATGCAATGCATTCACATTTTCAGTAAGTATAAATGGCTTAAGGAGCTTTGGCTCAGTCACTCAACTGGACACTGAGCTTTGGACACTGTAATGGACCAGGAAGGGGAACCCCTATGTGAGCACTTCTTACCAGAAGGCACTCGCACTATTTAGAACATCTGATTTGGTCCAGGGTCATGGAGGGGTGCAAGAAGGTGAAAATAGAGGACGCTCAGCCATGCAATTGTCCAACAGGTTCAGGGTTCATAGAGCCTGAACTGATGAGAGAGGGGGCTGAAAAGTGGATGAGCAAACTAATCATGATACCATAGTGCAGGAAGCCATTCAAGCAAGTGAGTTTTTAGGAATGTATTGCAAGTAGAAAATAGTATAATCAGGTGGTAGATACAGTCTGCAGTCAAAAGCAAAAGTCCATAACATAATGTTGCCTCTCTGATTCCAGGTTGCAGATATCCAGTTGTCATGGTCTACATTGGTACCAACGACATAGATAGGACTAGGAACGTGGTTCAGCATAAGGAATATGAGCATTTGGGATTAAAGTAAAAAGCAGAGCTTCAAAGCTAATAATTCTTGGATTGCTACCTGAGCTACTAACCCACTGGAATTGGATAAATAAGGTTAGAGAGATAAATGAGATTCAATTCTTTGGGCACTTGCACTCGTACTGCCAAAGGAAGAGCTGTACCAATGGCTCAGTTTTAATTTGAACCAAAGTGGTTAATGAAAACACAGAAGGTCCTTTTTTTTTGCCAGAACAGAGAGCACCTCTGCGGCAGTGAAAACACCAGAAGTTGGGCATTTCAAGTCCTGCCCTCATGAACAAAATTTCTCATTTTTAGCAATCGGTTCTTCATGTAAGCAAAGTTGCTGGAGTCAGCTGGCATTTAAATTACCAGTTGCCTTCACTAAAATTGGATTTTGGAGTTTCTGGAATATGAAACCAATAGCAAGGAGATTAGATAAGGTATGAACGTGAAGGAAAAGATTTTTCTCAATGTATTTCTTTAGGATAGCCATTTGGAGAGCTGAGGGACTCTTGTGAATTTGGGCTTAAGTGCACCTTGGGAGTGGAAGTTAGGCATCCTTAGGACGGGGGGGGTGGGGGGGTGGTGGTTTATGGGGTTATTCTGAGGGCAGTGTCAGGGATCCTTTGAGGAGTCAGGAGCCCATTATGACCATTAATGCAAAGAAGATTGTGTGAAAGTGCATAAACTCTTTAGAAATATCAAGACCTAGTAGAGAAGTAAGGTCTCCCCCCTCCCCCCTCACCAACCACATCTTCAGCATAAATACCACTTTTTCCTAGCTGCTATCAGTTTGATGAAGAGTCATCAGACTCAAAACATTAACTTTGCTTTCACCCCACAGATGCTGTCAGATCTGCTGAGTGTCTCCAGCAATTTCTGTGCTGGCACATTAAAACTATTAAAGGATTTGTGCCACTTGATTGATTTCCCAAACAATCATTTACACAGTGGGATGCTGATCGTGTTAACATTTATTTATGTTTGGCAATGTTTATGCTTTGAATTCCATATTCCCATTAACCCCAGATAACCTTAGATATCCTTGCCAACAAGGATCTATCTACCGTTGCCTTAAAAATATTCAATGACCAACACCTCCAAATCCTTTTGAGACAGAAAGTTCCAAAGTTCCGCAGTTCTCTGAGGAAAAGTAAAATCCCGTCATCTCTACTGAAAGAGGGCAACTCTAATTTTAAAACAGTGTCCATTAGTTCTTGACAAACGTATAGGAGTAAACATCCTATTCACATCCACCTAAGCAACATCATTCAGAATCTTAATCAAGACTTAAATGTTTTTGGAATTCCCTTCATCAAAAAAGCAGTGATGTGGAATCTTTAAATATTTTTAAGACAGAGGTAGATAGATCTGGATTACCAGGGGGATGAAAGGTTATTGTGAATATGCAGGAATGTAGAGTTGAGATTTAAATCAGATCAGCCATGATCTTATTGAAGAGCAGCTGAGGCTTGCAGAGTCAAATGGCCTACTCTTGTTCCTTTTTCGCATCTTCATATGGAAATGACTCCTTGCTTTTCTAACCACCAATGAAAACAAGTTGTGTCTGTTGAATCCTTCTTCATAAACAAAACCTGCTCATTTCAGCCTAGTCTCTGAAGCCAACTGGGTGAAATGCGGTGAAATGAGATTAATCAATAACTTCATGATAAAAGATGATTCTAGACGACAGCGATGACAACATGATAGCGTTTCATGTTCCGTTTGAAGGGGAGAAGTATGATGTTGTAATCCTAAATAAAACTAACAGTAAGAGTATGACTGTAGAGCTGCCTGAATTGAACTGGCGAGCTAAGTTAAAAGGTAGGTTATTGGAGTTGCAGTGGTAAACTTTTAGGGAGATAATTTATAAATCAACAATGGTTTATTCCACTGGTGTAGAATGATTCTTTGAGAAAGATACATCATTTGCGGTTAAATAAAGAAGTTAAGGATTGTATCAAACAGAAAGAAATACTATTCAATTCTGCATAGATTAGTGGTTGAGGTCAAAAGTCTGGCCACATTTTAAGAGCTAGCAAAAAATACATTGAAAAAGGAGGGAGAAATAAGAATGAGAGAAAACTAGCTAGTAATATAAAAGATACAAAGAAAGAACAAAGAAAATTACAGTACAGGAACAGGCCTCTCGGCCCTCCAAGCCTGCACCGACATGTTGCCCGTCACAACTAAAACCATCTACACTCCAGGGACCATATCCCTCTATTCCCATCCTATTCATATATTTGTCAAGACGCCCTTTAAAAGTCACTATAGTATCTGTTTCCACTACCTCCCCCGGCAGCGAGTTCCAGGCACCCACCACCCTCTGTGTAAAAACTTGCCTTGTACATCACCTTTAAACCTTGCCCCTCGCACTTTAAACCCATGGCCCCTGGTAACTGACTCTTCCACCCTGGGAAAAAGCTTCTGACTGTCCAGTCTGTCCATGCCCTTCATAATCTTGTAGACCTCTATCAGGTCATTCCAGTGAGAACAACCCAATTTTCTCAAACATCTCCTCAAGGCTAATGCCCTCCATACCAGGCAACATCCTGGTAAATCTTTTCTGTACCCTCTCCAAAGCCATCACATCCTTCTGCTGGTGTGGTGACCAGAATTGAGCACAATATTCCAAATGTGGCCTAACTGAGGTCCTGTAAAGCTGCAACCTTAACTAAGTTTCTATAAGGATAATAAAAGTTTCTATGAGTATTTAAATAGGAAAAGGATAATAAAGCAGCTGTTCTCTAGACAGTGAGTCTGATGAATTCATGATGGAAAACAAAGAAATGGTGAAAGGTGTTAAGTAGGTATTTTGTGTTTTATTAATTCACTCTTGGGGCATGGGCTTCACCAACTGGTCAGCATTTATCGCCTGTCCCTAGTTGCCCTTGAGAAGTTGATGGTGAGCAGCTTTCTTGCGTTGTAGATAGTTGCACAAGTTACACAGTAGATAGTGCTTAGGGAATGAATTCCAGGATTTTGACCCAGCGACAGTGAAGTAGCATCAATATAGTTTGAAGTCAGGATAGTGAATGGCTTGGAGGCAAACTTGCAGGTGGTGGTGTTCCCATGTATGTGCCTTCCTTTTCATTCTAGATGGAAGAGGTCATGGTTTTGAAATCATCTGTCTGAGGATCTTTGGTGTATTTCTGCATTGCATCTTGTAGATAGTACACACTGCTGCTACTGAGCATCTGTGGTAGAGGGAACGGATGTTTGTGGATGTGGTGCCAATCAAGCGGGCTGATTTGTCCTGGATGGTGTCAAGCTTCTTATGTGTTGACAGAGATGCACCCATCCCAGGCAAGTGAGGAGTATTCCATCAGCCCCCTGACTTATGCCTTGTAGATGGTGGACAGACTTTGGAGAGTCAGGAGGTGAGTTACTCGTGGCAGTTTTCCAAGCCTCTGACCTGCTCTTGTAGTCACTGTGTTTACATGGCAAATCCAGTTCAGTTTCTGGTCAATGGTAACACAAAAGATGTTGATAGTGAGGAATTCAGTGATGGTAACACCATTGAATGTCAAGGGCCAGTGGTTAGATTTTCTCCTGTTGGGGATGGTCATTGCCTGGCATTTGTGTGGCACAAATGCTACTTACCACTTGTCAGCCCAAGCCTGGATACTGTCCAGATCTTGTTGCATTTGAACATGGACTGCTTCGGTTTCTAAGAAGTTGTGAATAATGCTGAACTTTGTGCAATCATCAGCGAACATCCCCACTTGTGACCTTATGATGGAGTGAAAGTCATTAATGAAGCAGCTGAAGATGATGGACTTAGAACACAAGCCTGAAGAATTCCTGCAGGGATGACTGACCTCCAACAACCACAACCATCTTCCTCTGCACCAGGTATGACTCCAAGCAGCATAAACTTTTCCCTCTGATTCTCATTGATTTCAGTTTTGCTAGGACTCCTTGATGCCATGCTTGGTCAAATGCAACCTTGATGTCAAGGGCTGTTATTCTCACCTCATCTCTGGAATTTAGCTCTTCTGTCCATGTTTGAACTAAGGCTGTAATGAAGGCAGGAGCTGAATGGCCCTAGCAGCACCCAAACCGGGCACCACTGAGCAGGTTATTGCTGATCAGGTGCTGCTTTAACGTATTGTTAATAACACCTTCCATCACTTTACTGATGATTGAGAGTAGACTAATGGCTCATTAATTGGCTAAGTTGGACTTGTCCTACTTTTTATATACAGGACACATCTGGGCAAGTTTCCATATTGTCAGGTAGGTGCCAGTGTTGCAACTGTACTGGAACAGCTTGGCTTGGAACCAGCAGCTCTAGGTCACAAGGCTTCAGTAATATTGCTGGAATATTTATCAGGACCCATAGCATTTTCAGTATCCAGTGCTTCCAACCGTTTCTTAACGTCACATGGAGTGAATCAAGTTGGCTGAAGACTGGTACCTGTGATGCTGGGGACCACTGGAAGAGACCAAGATGGATCATCAACTTGGTATTTCTGGCGGAAGATTGCTGCAAGTGCTTCAGCCTTATCTTTTACAAGGATGTGTTCAGCTCTTCCATCATTGAGAATGGGCTATTTGTGGACCCACCTCCTCCAGAGAGTTGTTTAATTATCTGCCACCATTCACAACTGGATATGGCAGTCTAAGCAGAGCTTAGATCTGATCCATTGGTTGTGGGATCGCTTAGCTCTGTCTATCACTTGCTGCTTATGCTGTTTGGCGTACAAGTATTCCTGTTTGGTAGCTTCATCAGGTTGGCACCTCATTTTTAGATATACCTGTTGCTGCTCCTGGCATGCCCTCCTGCACTCTTCATTAAATCAGGGTTGATCCCCGGCTTGATGATAATGTTTGAGTTGGGGATGTGCTAGACCATGAAATTGCAGGTTGTGTAGGAGTAAAATTCTGCTGCTGCTGATGGCCAACTGCACCTCATGGATACCCAATCTTGAGTTCAAAGTTTGTCCCATGCAGTATGGTGATAGTGTCACACAACATGATGGAGGGTATTCTCAACAAAAAGGCAGGACTTCATCTCCACAAGGACTGTATGGTTACTGTTATTGATATTTTCATGGACAGACGCATTTGCAGCTGGCAGATTGGTAAGGATGACTAGCTCAATAAGTAGTGCTGCTGTTAAGGCACTCTTAGTGGGGGATATTAAAATCCCCCAACCATATATGCAACATGACTTGACAAATTTTATACTCTGTGCCTCGACCGATGAAGGCAAGCATGCCATATGCCTTCTTAGCCACCTATCCATTTGTGTTGCTACTTTCAGCGAACTCTGGACTTGTATGCCTAGATTCCTCTGTATGTTAATGGTTCTAAGGGCTCTGTCATTTACTGTATACTTCCATCCTAAATTAGATCTTCCAAAATGCATCACCTTGCATTTGTCTGGATTAAACTCCATTTGCCATTTCTCTGTCCAAGTCTCCAGCTTATCTATATCCTGCCATATCCTCTGGCAGTCCTCCTCACTATCTGCAGCTCTCCCAATCTTTGTGTCATCCACAAACTTACTAATCAGGCCACCTACATTCTCCTCCAATTATTAATATATATTACAAACAATGGGTCCCAGCATTGATCTCTACAGAACCCATTGGTCACAGATATCAGTCAGAAAAACACCCTTCCACTACTACACTCCGTCTTCTATGACTAAGCCAGTTCTGTATCCATCTTACCAGCTCTCTGCACATCCCAAATAGATAAAAGTACTGTGGTTCAAAAAGCAAATTAGAAGCTTGGAATTCTCTTACGAAGAACTCACCTCCTATCTCTCCAGTACCTGACCACCATCTACATGGCTCAAATAAAGAGTGCGATGGGTGCAAGTCCAGCAACAGTCAAGAAGCTTAACACCATCCAAGACAAAGTGGCCTGCTTGATTGGCATACTATTTTCATCTGCAACATTCACACCCTTCAACACAAACACACAGTAGCAGCAGTATGTACCATCAACAAGATGCATTGTAGTAGCTCACCAACTCTCTTCTAGCTGCATCTTCCAAACCTGTGACCTCTCCCACTTAAAAGGGTAGGAACAGCAGAAGCATGGCAACACTACCAAAGGAAAGTTCCTCTCCAAGCCATTCAATATCCTGCCTTGGAACTGTGTTGCCATTCCCTCACTGTTGCTGGGTCAAAATCCTGGAAATCTCTCCTCAACAGCACCATGGTTATTGTTACACCCCAAGGACTTCAATGGTTCAAGAAGGTAGCTCATAGCCAACTCCTCCAGGGCAATTGGAAATGGATAGTAATTTCTGGCCCAGCCAGTGACCTCAATATCCCTTGAACAAATGAAAACAAAAGACACTAAAGCATCCAGTTAAGCAAATGAAAATGCAGAAGTCTCTTCTATAGTACCCCATACGGCTTGTGCAAATGGGGCACCGGGGTGCTTTATCTCTAGCAGTGTCTCAGAATCAATAATACAAACACATTATCAGTTTTGCCAGTTACAGGTTAAAGGGATATTGTTGTTTATCTTCACACCAACTAATTCAATGGATCAGTGGAAAAGACATCTTAGCATCAGAATCCATAAGGAGATCCAGAACATGAGATATTTTCCCTCCACACTGCTGCCCTATTCAATAAAATCATGTCTAAATCTTTATATTAACTCCATTTTTCTATTGTATCTGTTGATTTTCTTGATTTTCTTGGTGACAACAAACCTCTCAATTCAGCCCAGAATATTTTCAATATTTATTGCCTGCAATGCTCTTAGGGAGAGAACTCCAAAGATTCTCAACGCTTTGAGGAATGAAATTCCTCATCTCTGTTTTAAAATGTCCAAAATATTATTCCAAACCTTTGGTCCCTAGTCCTAACCTCTCCAACCAGGGGTAACAGTCCTCTCAGGAGTACCCTGTCAATGGATACCTCCAAGTATTTTAATCACTTTAGTGGAATGATTTCTCATTCTTCTAAACTTGAGAATATTAGGCCAATCTACTCAATCTCTCCACATGGAACAGCTGTCTCATCTCTGAGATTATCTAGCAAAACTTTATTGCACCTTCTCTACGGCAAGCATATTCTTGCTTACGTGAGCAAACCGAGACTATACAGAGTGCTCAAATATTATCTCACAAAAGCCCTATATAGCTGCGGTAGCCCTTCCTTACTCTTCATGTCTAACTCCCTTGCACTAAAAACTATTTGCCTTCCCATTTGCTTGATTTACCAACATACAAGGACACCCAAATCTGAATGCTGACAGTTACTAATTTCAATTTCTAACCAATATTATGATTTTCCATTTGTCCTTCCTTTTGTGACCACAATAATGTTTAAGATATCCATGAAGAGAACCTTAGTCCGGTTTCAGCAACATGAGATTCTGACTTTGTAATTCCACCAACCAAAGTTCACCAGATTTGTTCCAGAATTACAAAAATAGTATTCAAATCATCACTGTGAGATGTCCCAGGCTCAAATCAATGGATTGTTCAGGTAGCTGGACTCTAAACTGAAAGCTGAAAAACACGATCAGATGCAATTAAGCAACCATTGGTTTTGAAACAGTATTCATCACCTCTGAGGTGCCTCAGGCTGAAACCCCTCACTGAACATGAGAACATTCAATAACCCAAACAATGAACACACAGTTTGCGTGATTTGAATAACTGACATCCACAGCTATAAGCACATTTGACATTTGAAACTGTGAGCTAGCAGATGTCAGCAAAGAAACTGCGGAGGAGTTTCTACATGTGGCAGATACTTGAGTTATGTTTTAAATCTTATGGTTACAGAAGGTGTGTTACCTTTTGTACAAGTCGGTTGCTTCCCCGTCCACGTTCCATCCTGTTGACATCTTCTTTGCGCACTACCACTCAGAATAAATGAATCACTGCAGGTGAACTGCACAATGGTGCCAATGGTTGCATAGCCTGTCTTTACTTTTCTGCTTCTTGGGAGAATTTTTTGTTGCCCATTCTGTGGCACACCAGGGTCAGGACAGCTCTTACTTTCTGGAATTAAAGATCAATGTAATACTTTGTACAGCTGTTGCAATAGCATACAAAACATGCTGAGGAAATGAAAAGCTGTATAATGGAAGCTGTAGCTTGCATTCCAGCAATATGAGAGTCCTTTAGATTCTGACAGATAAAAAACAGCCTTACATTGACATGAATGATTACATAACATATAGAATATATTTGTTCAGTAAAATATATGTATGTGACCAGCTGTAATTACTATCTTTCTGACCAGGAGAGCATTTTAAATGTATGACCAAGGCTACATAGTATGTCTACCCTGTAGGACATTATGTGTACAAGATCAACAGAACAGATTTTGTGTGTGTGGCCAACAGGACAAATTGGGTTGGATTTTGACAAGAGTCATTAGGAGCAGTTTAAAAATGGTAGTAGGACCCATTATTGGGATTCCCAACCCATTCCTGCTGCTCCCAATTTTTAGTGGTGTGGATAAAAGCGCAGGTGGCAAACAAACAACTGGCAATTCCAGACTTTGGGAGGCTCCATATTTAGATCATCCAGCTCTCTGCAATTTGTGTAGAGTTGAGTCAACTTGCCCATGACTCATGGTTTATGGTCCCTCCAAGGAATAATAAATAGTAGTTTGAATTGAGAAATCTCTTGAAAGGTAAAGTCAAAGGTCTTACTCATACAGTTATGCATTTAGTCGGATGTGCTACTACTTTAGGAGAGCTAGCCAGGTGATCTGGAGGGGGAGAGCTTGGGTCCAGTATAGAATTGGGTGTGGAAGTGTGAGCACCATTAATAAAGTGTTCCTGTTCAGATTTGCTGCTTGTCTATCTGGTGTATAATTGGTTCCAAAAGAAGAACCAACTAACACATACCTCTCCACAATAACTCATGACTCTACCACCACAAAATTCACCATACCTTCCATGGCTATTCAACCATTACTCACCCTGTACAGAGCCAAAAGGAACTGCTTAGGACACCCATAAATTTAATTTTAGAAAACTGCTTTTCTACAGCCCAATTAAAGTATTAATCAACTAGATCACTAAAGTATCAAAAAATAGTGAATCATTGACAAAAATTATCACAGGGAAATTGGTTTATTATAATATTATAAAGCTGTCAAACAAGTACATTTTACCTTCTCTGCACACATATTAATAATGTTAATCTTTTTATTGGAGTCTGGGCTCTCAGCCAAGCATGCTTAGTAAGATTCAACACATCAGGAACATTGATTAAGTGAGTTGCTCTTCTAGGAGCCAGCATGGACTGGGCTAAGTGACCTTCTTCCATGTTGTAATCTTTTTAGAATTCTAAAGGTTGGCTTAGAGTAGAGGAAGTTTTCTTCAAGAATTTACCTTGTAATACATAACAAGTTAAGTTCTTAATGTTAAACTAAAGCCAAGCGAATACTTTATGTTGAAACTGAAGCTTGGGAGTACTTAATATTGACATGAGAGTAAAGAAAGTACCTGCCAATAACACTGGAACTAAGAGTACTTACTAACGACATTAGAGTCAAAGAAGTACTTAATGCTATAATGAGAGTGAAGGGTGTATTTAAGCCTAACACTGGATCCAAGCCAGTACCTACTGTTGATACTGAAACCAAGGGAGTACTTAACATTGACAAAAAACAAAGGCAGTACTTAATGTTGACAGAGAAGCCAGGCAGTAGGAAATTTTGACACTAGAGCTAATGGATTTAAACTTAAGATTGGAGCTAGTTAGTCCATTTAATTTATAACTGTGTTAACCACAAAGTAACTCCTCCATCTCCTGAATGGATGGGTTAGATGTCCTTTATTGACACATGTTGAATGGTAAAGCATGTTCCCACTACCTGATATGACAAAATTTTGTCCATGTGACTGTGGAACTGAAAGATTTTCATTTCTATATTGTTACCATATGAAAAACAAATGTATTTTTATAAGTTCTGGTCCTTTATGTTGTGGACACAGAGCCACTAGGAATTAGGTTCTAGTTTGCTCATTTCACGTCAACCCACTAAAAGGAGGACACTATTTAAATTTCCTTACCCCATCAGCTGAACTTGAACTGGATTACAGGTCCTAGATTTAAAATAAGACTGCATGCTAACCATGCCATTCTTTGACTATCATTGCCTGTCTGTTATGATCATTTGTTATATATGTTTCTCACTTTATTGCCAAAACATCCAAGTAGAGAAGAGATCACATGAGATTTGCTGTTTAAACTGCTAGGGTTAAAATCATAAATGTATTAATTATACAAATTTAAATGCTGTAATGGCCTAAAAATGTTCTTTCCACTTCTCAATGCAAAGGATTTAAATATCACGTCTTACCACACTGCGGTGTACTCATGCTCCAGTTCCCATCCAGCTGGCAAGTGGCAACGTTACTTCCAACAAGCTGGAAATCTGCATCACAGCTGTAGTAGATATGGGAACCAAACCGGAAATCGTTTCCTTCCACTGTACCATTGACTGGAGCCATGGGATTCCTACATATCACCACTGATAGGTCACATAGTTGATAAACGCATTTTATTACAAACACTTCAACAAATTCTGCATTATTGCAAGCTCAAGAACATTTAATAGTTTACTGGAAACTCAAACACAAGGGGGATTTCTTCCTTTGGTTCAGCCTTAATAAGACAATGACAAACATCCAGTTCCTGAAACCTTTAGAATAAACATGGAAAGCCATTGGTTTCTGACCCCGTCTCAATAAACAAAAGGTCTCAGTTTCCGAGATAGTAGGAACTGCAGATGCTGGAGAATCCGAGACAACAAGGTGCAGGGCTGGATGAACACAGCAGGCCAAGCAACATCATAGGAGCAGAGAGGCTGACGTTTCGGGCCTAGACCCTTCATCAGAAAAGGGGGAGGGGAAGGGGGTTTTGAAATAAATAGGGAGAGAGTGGGAGGCGGATAGAAGAGGGATAGAGGAGAGGATAGGTGGAGAGGAAACAAACAGGTCGAAGAGGCGGGGATGGAGCCAGGAAAGGTGAGTGTAGGTAGGGAGTTAGGAAGGGGATAGGTCAGTCCAGGGAGGACGGACAGATCAAGGGGGCGGGATGAGGTTGGTCGGTAGGAGATGGAGGAGCGGCTTGAGGTGGGAGGAGGGGATAGGTGGGAGGAAGAACAGGTTAGGGAGGCAGGGACAAGCTGGACTGGTTTTGGGATGCGGTGGGGGGAGGGGAGATTTTGAAACTTGTGAAATCCCAAAACCAGTCCAGCTCGTCCCTGCCTCCCTCTTCTATCCGCCTCCCACTCTCTCCCTATTTATTTCAAAACCCCCTTCCCCTCCCCCTTTTCTGATGAAGGGTCTAGGCCCGAAACGTCAGCCTCTCTGCTCCTATGATGCTGCTTGGCCTGCTGTGTTCATCCAGCCCTGCACCTTGTGGTCTCAGTTTCCTGGCTCCTTTACCAGTTAACTGTAAAGCCTATGACTCCTGCAGCTCTTACTAAGGGATTGGCTAGCAGCAATCTCCTAAATCCCCAATAATCTGCCCTCAGTGAATCGTCACAGGAGATGGTAGAAAACAATACATGCCTCTTCTGATGAAGTTCACTATGTGATACTGAGACAGAAAATGGTGATTTCCTTGGGGAGTTCCCTTAAAATTGGGATTTCAATTAAATTTGCAACATAATTAGGGCAGGGAGGAGTAGAAGTTATGGGGAACTTCCTGACAAGGTGCCTTTCAGTTCTTCTTCAATAAACTACATTGTGGCAAACATCAGGGAGTCAGGGACAAATAGTTGCATGTTTAGTAAATTGTCTAAAAATCAGAAAGCAGAATGCTAGGTTGAAGTATAACTATTTATATTGGAGGAAGACATAAATATGGTAGTCGCAGGGATCAGTGCTGGGACCGCTATTTAGACTTTACATTCATGACTTAGACTTAGGAGCAAGTAACTCAAATCAAAGTTTGCAGATTATGCTAAACAAAGGACAAACAAGACAAGATACAAATGATAAAAAGTATCATTACAAGCTATCAAGGAAATTAAAAGGGCTAAGTGTTGGAAGTTACTTCTAGGAATATAGAGTTCAGGAGTAATGAAATTATGTCTAACTTATATATCATACTGGCCAGGTTGCAATTAGAATTGTGTGCAGTTCTGGTCTTCAAAATACAAAGGGGATAGCAGCCTTGGAAAGAATTTACACAGCTAGTGCAAGAACTGAGCGATTACAATTATCAAGAGACACTAAACAAGTTAGAATGTTTTTCTTTAGAAAATAGAAGACTGAGAGGTGATCTGACAGATATCTTTAAAATTATTAACAAATTGGATGAGGTAGATTAGGAATGTTTCCACTTGTGGGACCATTCAGGCATTTAATTATAAGATATTTACTAATAAATTCAATTGGGGAACAACAAGATATTTCTGCCCTCAGTATAGTTAGGATGTGTTATGCAAAGGAATTGACTGAGACAAATAGTTTAAATGCTTTCAAAGAAAACGAGATGAGTATTTAAGAGATAGGGGATAGAGACATATGTTGCAAATTGGAGATGAGATAGATGGAATAGAAGGGGACCCATGTGGAGTATAAACATAGCACAGTCTAACAGGCAGAATGGTCTGTAGCTATGTGATAGATTCTGTGTAATCCTATGCTGGAACAACTGAAACTGACTAATTCTAATGCAATGCAGGCATTCTAATAAAATCATGAACTTGTCTGTAAAGAATGAATTCAGCATTGCTTTATATCTTGTGCACAGTGTAGTTGATCCTATATTACGTCTGTACAATCAATTTGCCTTAGCTTTGCGGTCTCCAGACGAAGGTTTTTAATAGGATGAACTAGCAGCAAGCGAACTTCCTGTGGTTTTTATGGACTTATGATGCTGTGTAATGTGGGAGGATTAAAGCCAAATATTGCAAAGACCAGAGATTTCAGCAATCGACAAATTCTGACTGATTAGCTCAGGTATTTTCTATGTACAGTTCAAAACTGAACAAGTTTGGAGTATCAAAAGAAAATGGGCACTCACGTTAATGGTCTATTTGTAATTCATGTACTTCATTTTCTTTGAAATTACAGTAGTACAGTGCTGTTTGGGTTTCTATGATAATTGAAACGACCACCATCGAATTACAGCTTTCCAGACAAGAGGAGGACGGGAATGTTACTTTCGAAATGGAGCTATCCAGTACAGAGAGGTATAGAGGTATGAAAGGGGTTAGTTAGTGTTGAAATTAAGCTATCCAGATCACAACAGAATGGGGGATTAGTGACAAAGTGGAACTATCCGGACAAGGGGCGATGAGGTGGGCTGTGACTAACAAAAAAGGGAGCTTTCCAGATCACAGAGGGATGGGAATGTTTACTACTGTAAAGGAGCTATTCAGATCTCAGGTGATGTTATGGAAGGAGTTGTCACGGTACATAAACAAACTACACAGATCTGGGTGATCACCCTACTCATGGCAATCATATTTGCCTTATGATTTTTTAACACATCACAGTAACTTAGATAAAAATCTCAGAAAAACATTGTGGAACAACAGGAAATCAGATAAATCCCTGGAAAGTTTATCACATTGACTGGTGTATGATGTAGCAATCTCCAGATAAATCAGTGACTACAAACAAAAATCTACAAAATGGTACTTAAAAGGAGGTAGCCATCTTCACCTCACGTACTGTCTATATAGGAGCAATAAACACAAATTCATCACGGTTCATCCTACAAAGATGAGTCTCAACTCCCAACATCTATGAAAATATGTATGGTGACTTTGAGATCTTGGTAAATTTAAAGTAAATTACTGGAAAATGAACAACAAAGTCCTGAAATCAGTTAACATATAACAACCTGGTTTAATTTATATGATATGAAAATAATTTTTTGTATAAACTGTGATTAAGCAAATAATCTGGCAGTGATTGTGTATTTTTTCATTTAACTACAAGTAAATAAATTAATTTCAAAATAGCAGCCTTAAGAACTAAACTAAATTTTGTAGGCAACTTACATCTGAACATTACTTCTCCTTTCTTTCTGGAATATGAGCCTGTTAATTATCTGCAAACTATCTCCCCACTTTTCCTGAGATTTTTAACTATTCTTACACATGAAATGCCTACCTGCCAACTAGTCCTTTCGAATGTAAGAGATGCTTTTTTAATTTCCCAGAAAAGTGTGGTTGGGACTTTCCAGATTTTGAATATCTGACCTGTCAATTTGAAAAACCCCAAAAACTGACCATCAAATTTAAGCAGAATTAATCAAAAGACTTGATATATTTAAAGGTATTAGAAAAAATGATTTTTCAAGATGATTATTTGGCGAGCAATTGAAAAATATCTCAGCATAGCTACTATAGGAGTGTTGTAGGATTCAGATCTTACTTGATAATTAAAACTCCAAAACAGAATGAAGAACCTGAGCTTTCACTATAATGGATAGGCTCTCCAAAGAGGCAAAAATGGCATTCTTGTGCATTTACTTGGATAAGCCAGGGTACTTATTTTGAAAACAACATCCCTGGATACCTTTGGAGTGGTCATGTGCCCTTTGAGCAGGAGGTCAAGCAGGTAGACTTTGGAATTAATCAAGGTACACATGAATATGCCTAAAAAGTGCACAAAGCCACTGGACTTATCAAAGAATTTGGTAAGTGTTAAAGAACTGTCAAAGTTGTCAAGCGTTATAAATTTCAGAATTCTAAATTTTAAAAAATGTCTCTGGAGCTTTTTAAGGAAATAACTGCCATTTCCCTTTGTCTGTTGACACCAGACTGGGGGTGCCATTAACGGATTTGTGTGGCATGACTGATTCTACTATCTGACCTGTTCATAATAGAGCAATTGTTAAGTAGATAGTTTGATTGACCGCTCTATGTGGTTGTAAATACAAATGTCTTTTTTCATAAGAGCTAAAAGGATTTGAGTGAAATAGTTGTTTTCTACTCAATTCATTGAACAGGTTTTGTTTTAGTCAATGTGCACATATAACCTTACTATATGTTAACATGTCTCTTGACATTTGTCCCTGGTAGATAATAAGTGAACTGGCATAGAGGGAATGGGCAAATGTGGGGAAATTGATTGGGCATATGTTGGCATTGACACTATATAGGACGTGGGCACAATGGCATAGGTTGGCATACAGATATGATGGGATATGTAGATGGGTGCAGGGTATCAGATGAAATGGAGGGTTTGAGGAGTTACAAGGTGAGTACAGTGTATTAGGTGGAATAGAGGGTGATGGCAGAAGTCCAGGGAGGTTGATCTCGACATGTGGAGCAACACACTGCGTCTTGTATCCATTGAGGTACTAACAGTAGTCGGTTGCCTATTTAGGGGACTACAGCTTGTTAACTTTATTTAACGCATATTTCACTTCATTAATATGCAGCTTCCTATTTCACAAAATGCTCCAAACAAACTAGATGCCAAGAATTTTTGACGTGGAAGTCAGAGTAGTTACTGCTTGCTATGAAGAGCCTCCAACTGTCCGGCATGAAACAACATCTTA